CCTTCATGTTGCCTTGGTGTGTGCACACACAGAAAGGGAGGGGGAGAGGCCTCTTTTATGTCTCCTCTTCTTTTTATAAGGGCATTTATCTCACCATAATGACCCCACCTCATGACCTCACGTAACTCTGCTCACTTCCCAAAGGCCACCTCCAAATACTGTCACTTTGGGGATTAAGGTTTCATCATGGGAATACAGGGGGACACTGAGATAGTTAGTCCACATTGATCTCTTAGTTGGTCAGTCTACAACTAGAAGAGACCGCCATACACTGGAAGTTTACTATGGATAAGACTGAGGTACTCAGGGTTTATACTGAGACGAATTTGAATCTGATTTTAGCACCTTTGTGATGTAAAAATGGTTAAATTTCTTTAAGTCTCAGTTTCCTCAAATTGATAGTTACAGCATCTATTTGTAGAGTTGCTGTCTAGGTTAAATGAAAATCAAGCATGTAAAACTCTTAGGAAAGTTCTTGGAACAAATTTACCCCTGATAAAAATTTTGCTTATAATTTTTGAAAAATAATTACAGCTACCCCAACCAAGGCTGAGACTAGGTGACACAAGGAATGGCAATGTTTGAGGTTTGATTGTTAATATAAGATAAAACTTATTTGACCATAAATTTTTCAACCTTTGTTCAGATGTTGAAGTAGACAGACAAATCAGGTAGGTGTGTGTGTGTGTGTGTGTGTGTGTGTGTGTGTGTATGTGTGTGTGAGTGTGTGTGTGTGTGTGTGTGTGTGTGTGTGTATACCTACAGGTGTGTGAGCAGGTGACCTTATGTACCTTGATCTTCCCCTCATTTCTTTGGGTAATTAATTCTTACCTATTGATAGAATTTCAAAACAAACACACCATTTAAAATTTTGAATATGTTTCACTTGTATCTTTTTTAAAAATTTGTTATATATTTCAGTGGGAATGCATTACAATCCACATTACACATATAGAGCACAATTTTTCATATCTCTGATCGTATACAAAGTATATTCACGCCCCACTCATGTCTTCATAAATGTACTAGGGAATGATGTCCATCTCATCACACCATCTTTTTTACCCTCCTGCCCCCTCCCTACCCCTCCCACTCTTTGCCCTATTTAGAGTTTGTCTAATCCTCCTATGTTCCCCTTCCCAACTCCACTAGGAATCACTTATACCTTTTTAAAATTTTATTAAAACCAGAAACTATTTAGGCCTGCTTTGTTTTTCAAGATTATTCCCTAACAAAAATGTTCCTTTGCACACAAGACAGGATATGTTTCAGTTAAACCCCAATCTCTCCCCTCTTGCGATACAGAAACACTCCAGGACTCTCCAGACCCCAAATTCCTATAAATCACACTTTGTGGACATCTGTGCCATTTAGTGTAGCTTAGTGCCTAAAGTATTTTGCCTTTACATTTTACAGAAATTGTCATTTCTTTTCCCTGCAGACTTAGTGACTCAGATGACAAAGCAAATCCAATCCTGTTCTCACATGATCTGAAATGTCCAGGTGACAAATTCATTTGATTATCAGTAAGAAAGCATACTCGTATGGTTTTTAAAGGCTGGATTTTCTAGGCACTCTGGGATTGAATACCCAGTGTCAAAAATAAAATAGAATAGAATAGAATAGAATAAATAAAATAATAAAATAAAAACTAAAGGCTGGATTTTCAACATGGGAAATAGACTTGAATGAAGCCTTACCTTACCCCTAGATTTATCGTAATCATGTCCTCTCATAACTGCTAGTACAAAAGGCATTTGCCACAACTCCAGAGCACAAAGAAGAAAGGGGTGAAATGCACTGTAGAGGGTGGATGGAGTTCATTATATTTCTGGGAAATCTAAGCTTGCAGAAGGCAAGGAGTGATTCTCTGTGCCCATGAGAGCAAAATGAAATCTAAACATCACTCATAACTTAATGCGATTAAGAAGCTGCCCGTGGAGTTGGAAATTCAAGAGGACTGTGTGTGTCCTCAGGAGAACTTCAAGTGTTTTTTCCTTGGTTAAATTGTGTTCAGAATGTTCTAGAAAGACCTCTGGGGCTTGTGTCTGCACATTGGGTGGATTTATGCATATAGAAAAGAAATACCAGGAATAAATATAGTCCCAGTAAGTGAGTTTAAACTCTAGTAAACCACCTGATTCCTGGCCTTTCAAAAGAAATCAATAAAAAAGGAAGAGGATCCTGAGAAAGAGTAGTTTCTACTGGTGAAGCCACCCCTACCCCGCTTCTCACTGCACTTAGTCACAATCAACCTGTCTCAGTCTGTAAATGTCTCATGATTAGTGTGAATGAATATCCCTCGCTGCATAGATTTCACTATTGATTTTTAATTGATAATAGTGTCTTGTAGTTATATAGTACCACCTCAGAGGAAATCTGGGGGCTTTATAGTTGATGAATTCCAATTTATCTTAACACTCTCCTGCTGAATGTAAAAATTAGGTATTTCCAACTGCTTTCAAGAGGGAAAAAGAGATCCAGCAAGGTTAAATTATGGCCATGGAGAATTTAGAAAGCTAATAATAAAATCACCAACTAAAATCTAGTAGTCCTAACTCATGTTTCCTGAAAACTTCTGGTCAATTAGGTCAACATTGACTATTTCTTTGGAAAAAGAATTTGGTCAAAACAGTTTTCCAAAATTGTTATGATTGACAGCAGTTTACATCTGCTGTACCTGGCAGTGTTCAATAATTGGGCTGAATGGATTTTTGCTTATTAGATCAGGTACAGTTTTTAGTCCTATGTTAATATGTTTGGAAGCTTTGAAGTCACATGTATCAGGTTATCTTCTGGTAAAGGAGCAATGTAAAACTTGAATTCTGAGATTGGGTAGGTAAAATCCTGATATTTCAAGGTGTGGCTGTCTCCATCACCTCCCTGACATTATTTTAGCTGACCCAAACTTGCTTTCTCGAACAAAAACACAATTCAGACACCCCTTGTACATATGGGAAGATCAATTAGCCATTCCTCTAGCCTTGGAGATATGGGACTGAGTTTTTCTCTTTCCTCCATTACAGTTGCTACCCATTTTTCCTCTGAGTTATTCCTTCATCCCTCTGTACTATGCTTACTGCTACTCCAGTCTTCATGTATAATACAACAGCCTCCTTTGTTTCCCCAAATTCCTCAATCCACTTAAGATTAATTTTCCTAATTATTTGTAATTTTTGAAATAATTGTAATTTTTGAATCCTACTGGCACAAAAATATACAGAATAATACTTGCAACATCTGTATCCAATCACTTTATTAAAAAATTGCAACATTTGGGATACAGTTGAAAGCCTTCCTTGAAGCCGGCTCTCAATCTCGTTTCTTTCTCTTCCTTCCCATTATCATGAATTTAGTGCTTGTTTTTCTCATGTGTACATTTATACATTCACCGTGTGTGTGTGTGTGTGTGTGTGTGTGTGTATGTGTGTGTCTCCAGAAAAATGTAGAATCGTTTCTTTCAGAAACTTTCATTTTCTCATCATGACTTTCATTATGGTTTTGAGACTCATCCATGTTTCTGGGTACAACTCTGTACCCTTTATGTCATTGCTGTCATTCATTGGATTCATGTTCTGCAATTGCTTGCCATGGTTTTCTTCAAATACAGATAATCATGCAGTAATTTTTTTTTTTTGGTACTGGAGATTGAACCCATGGATGCTTTACCTCTGAGCCACATCCCCAGCCCTTTTTTATATTTTAGTTTGAAACTGGGTCTTGCTGAGTTGCTTAGGACCTCCCTAAGTTGCTGAGGCTGGCTTTGAACTTGGATCCTCCTGCCTCAGCCTCCCAAGCCCCTGGGATTACAGGTGTGCACCTTATTCACATGCTTCCTTGTTCACGTTTATGGAAGTTTCTCTGGGGCAGGTACCCAGGGCTCTGAATGCTAGGAGGTTGCAGTGCTCATTAGGTGGAGGATGGTGCTCCTCTCACAGGCCACACTCCCCCTAAAAACAGACTCTTAGTTGACCTCTCGACTGACTTTCAGTGGAATTTCAGTTTCCTCAAAGAGAAGAGACCTTCCCCACTTCTCTATCTGAAGGGACGGACATTTGTTCCAGGTACTCCTTTTCATCAAGAGGTGTCACAAGCTCGACAACTTTTGGGGCTACATGCTGAACAGTAAATGTGCAAAAGTCAGGCTGTGTGCTGGGTGTGGAGAGGGCGGTAGGATGGTTCCACACACAGTGAGCAGTATTGGACTCATGGGTCACTGGTTTGTGGTCCCTGAGATTCTCTTATGACCTGAAAGTCTGCCTCAGGAACATGTAGCCATCAGTCTCACTTCCCAGCGGCCAAGACCCAGGACTGTGGAGTCAGCCTGCCTGTGTTTGCCTCCCTGCTCCAGCACTTCCGGTTGTGTGTGCTTGGGCAAGGCTCCCCTCCCCGCACACCCCTGGGCTTTGGTTCCCTTGCTTGTGTTTCCTTCACAAGGCTGTGTGAGAACTAAATAGGATAATATACATAAAGCTCAACTAGCTGTTCAATAAACTTTTGTTGCATTGCTGAGGAAAGGACAAATAACAAAAAGGGTATACTGTCTCTACCGTGTGTCAGGCATTGCTTTAGACACTGGGGAGATGGTAGTGACCTTCATATCTGTCTCTTTCCTAATTTGTCAGTTGGGTCCAAGCCCCCTAACATATTGCGTGGCACACAATGGACACAATGTTGAATCAATAAACAAATTTAATGATTCTTCTAAAGAAATGTTAAGTGCCCAAGGTGTGTTCTCTTGCCTCAATGGAGCAAGTAAATCATACCCATGGCTGCTTAACTCTACATGGCAGTTACTTTTCGAATATTGATTCTTTCTGTATGATATGGGTGGTAGCTTGTCAGGAGTCATAATATTGGCATAGTCAGAATACTGTATTTTGATGGGGATGAATAACACAGAATGGACTATTTCTTGAATCCTTTTTTTTTTTTTTTAATACAAAGTAAGATTCCCAACTTTTGATCAGGACGTCTTATTTTCCCCCCTTGGATTTCAGGTCTCATTGTCCATGAAGGAGCTGCAGTTTACAGAGTGTTTAAACGCTGGAGAGCTGTGAATTTGCACTGGGATGTGTTAAATTATGACAAAGCCACAGACATTGAAGAGAGCAGCCGGGGAGAGTCTTCCACGAGTAGGACTTTATGGTTGCCACTGACGGCTCTGCGGAGCAGAAACTTGGTCCACCCAACGCAGCTCACCTCGCCAAGGTTCCAGTGTGGCTACGTGCTCTTGCATCTCTTCAACCGGATGAGGCCCCAGGAGGATTTGTCAGAAGATAACAGCTCGGGAGAGGTTGTGATGAGAGTGACTTCAGTGTGACAAACACATTTGATGATGCAGTGCGGACCACCCTGCACATTTCGGAATGTAATTGCAATGAATGGAGAAACCATAGCACTTCTAAAAAAAAACACTCATCTATGAACTTTTTAAAATTTATGCTTTTTATATGAACATTTGAATTGCAAATACATTTTTCTGAAAAAAAAAAAGAGAGTCTTCTTGTTCTTTGTTTTCTGATTTGTCACATCTTTTATAAGTTAGTACTTGAAATCATTATACATATAATTTAACTCTATTGGGTTAAAAGAATGATGAAAGTTATCCTTAAGTCAAAACTATTTTTTCTTGCTTCTTTTAAATATATTTTTACCAAATTTCCTGCTGCACGTGTAATTTTTCTGACACAGTACGAATGGGGAAGCGGTTTAGAGTGCTGTGGGAAGACTCCCAAGTGCCCATCGAGGGTACAGAACAGGCGCTGCTGTGGCACTCAGGGCTGGGGCTACTTGTGCCTCGTGCTGTTGGCAGGATTCAGTGTGGCTTTTCAATATGATGAAAAACAACTGGTCGCCAGCAATGCAAGTTCTAGGAACGGCACAGAGAGCATCTCAAAGAATAAATAGGAGCAAAATAATGTGGTTTTATTCCAGTTCATATTAAACGGCGAGGCTGACTAATTCCAGTTCTCAAAGCTCCCCAGAACATTGCACCATATACGTGTTATAATAATACTAACTCAAAGATAATGCTGCCTCACATTGGCACAGACCGTTAATAGACCCATCACAGTTAGTTCCATTAATTAGTGTCTTGAATTATCTGAGCACCGTCTTAATTAGATTTTTCCTTTTGAAAAACCGTATGTATCTTCCTAATCATTTAAATATATTCCTATTACTTGGTCTAATGAAGTCCTAAAAAGTATGTTTGCCAGCTGTGAGAAGTCTTTCTCTAGATGACTCAATCAGTATTTTTTAAAATGAAAAAGAGGAAAAGATAAATGCAGCTATTGACTCCCCAGGAACAGGTTACTAACTAGTGGTACCTGGGACTTTTCCACCTTTGGATCTCCTATTGGAGGTAATTGTCACATTTTAATGGGTAGCCACAAGAGATGAGAGGGCAGATGGGCATACTTCCCTCAGAAACATGAGTTGAACATGCTGGCTGTTTGAAGCAATTAATTAGATTTTAAAATATATGAAATATAGGTGATGTACCCTAATGCTTTATGTTCTATTTATGTTGACAATAGAATAGGTAGAATTGTGATTCCCACATAGGAAATTCTCCCACTTCTTAAAAACATATTTTTCCAGTTGAAAATCTTTGTCAGAGAGGAGAAGGTATGAAAATTTGCAGAAAAGTGAAGAATGAATCACAAAGTCATGAAAGAATGAAAATCCAACATTAGTTAGAGACACATCTAGATCCAGAGGGTGAGCATGTTGAGCATTCCGTTGCCAAACTGTGAGGGTCTTGCTTGTTTTAAGCTGATGTTAAATGAGTACAGTCCTGGTGGCTTCCCGGATGGTTTAATCATTAAGGCAAGTCATAACAGCTCATCATCTAATGGAGAATAATTCTAGCTACTACTGAGAGTACAATATAGAGCATTGTTTTAAAAACGCAGGTCTAAGAGGTTGGGGTTATGGCTCAGTGATAGAGCACTTGCCACGCATATGTGAGGCACTGGCTTCAATTCTTAGCACCACATATAAATAAATGAATAAAATAAATATTAAACAATATTAAAACACTGGACTAAGACTTTAGACACAAGTGCTACAGCATGTTACTATTCTGCCTTTGAATTAGTGTGCACCTTTGTATCCACATCAACTTACTTGAAAACAAGAAGGGGCAGAGGATGAGAATCCCTCTCTGCTGCATTGAATGGGGTTTAAGGTGGAGACCTCTGGATATGAGAGCTCCTAATAGAAAGGACAACTGAATGGAAGCCTCCTTCCATCCAAGGACTTTGCCCTTTGGGTTTACCTTCTGTCTGTAACCTGTATACCCACTCACTGTCTCCATGGCTCCTACCTCCTATAACACAAACACATGCATACCAGCACACAATTCAAATCAACACTGGAAGAAGAATCTAGCAGAATTTCCACTCAAAAAAAAAGGGCCATTCCTGAAAAGATTGCATAAAAATTCAAGTGTGGGCACATGCACTTAGAAAATTGAGCTCATTGCTATAAAATAATTAAAAATTTTAATAACATGCTATATGATTTATGATGATATAAACTATTATCTTTTCAACTGTTAATGTCATAATTCAAACTCAAGCTACTTTCAATGCCAAGAACATTTATGATAAGGAAATGAGTTGGAAATAATTATTTTCAAATCTTTCCAATATTATAAAAATTTAGAAAATGCACTCCGCCTGTCTGTTTTGAATCATTCATTTCCAATCTAAGAAATTTATGGAGCACCTTCTATGTGCCAGATGGATAGCAGAGTAGCCTTGGTGTATGGGGACATCCTGCAGTGCATCCTACATGTTGGTGAGCTAAGTGGCAGGTCAGAGGTAATGAATTGTCCCTGTGGGACATCTGGGGAAGGTGTCACTGTGGGGAACTGATGTTAGAAAACATTTGCAAATCAGCAAAGGAGCAATGGACATTCTGGGGGAAAGAGAGGCATATTCCAGCAATGGAAGGATTTTTGGTGGGAAAGCCCTGGGTACAGGAGGGAACAGGATCCCAGTCTATAGGGTCGGTAGGTATCTGGGACTGAATCCCACAGGGAACCATGGAAAAATGGTGGGCTGCAGCTTGTGGTAAGGTTTGGCCATGTCATTCCTGGGGGATGGATGTTCTGTCTCCATCAACAGCTGTAGACTCAAAAATGGCGTAGAAAATCGGGGCATCAGATGGGACACACTTCCTTCCTTCTTTCTCCCGAGGAGATAGCAAAACCCATAATTCCGAGTAGGAAAGCACATCAAAGATCCTATGAAGCAGAGGGTAATTTCTCCATTAAAAATTCCACCACTTTCCAGAGTAAATATTTTTTTTTATCTGATTTAGCTTCAATATAACCTTTTTATTTTTTATTCTCTATATCCCATTGAAAACATACCCAATTAACCAAGTTCTGTCTCTTGCTTTTGCTTCAGCCTAGGTAGGGCTGAGTCTCTTTTCTATGTTTCCCCTATAGGTCAGTGATGTTAGGAAGGACTATTGTTTTTGCTGACATGTGAATGCTCCTTCCTCCCTTTTCTTTGGAGTCAAATAGCAAAAGAAGCTTTGCTGCTCCAAGTAATACAAAAGCTGTCATCCAGCTACTAAACATAGGTCTTGTTTTGTCCATATTTTCCTGTATAGTTTATTTTTTTTACTCACATTTTAATGACAGCAATTTACAAATGCCTGACCCATGAAACTTTTCTTTCCAAGTTCATCCTGTCTCAAACTAAGTTATGGTAAAGTTTGAGGTTGTTCTCCCTATATAATAAATATTATGATAACATCATGCAACATGTCATATAAAATGTGTGTTTTTTAATGTTATATAATTTATGTTGTGTAATTTTATGTCATTTGTTTTCATAAAACAATCGAATGTCTCATGCACTAAATAATAATTGTTAAAGATCTTAAAAAGATATGTAAGGCATTGAGCTTAGTTCCAGTTTTCTAATTCAGAGAAAATGTTCCCATCCTGTGTGTCTCATGCAGAGCTGCAGCAAATGCTGTCATTTACAGTGAAGCACTGAGCTCTGGACCACAGTGGTACCTGGGACTAATTCATTACCTTCATCAGGTACCATTTTCCACATTGTGAATTTATCTTGCTAATTCACCAAGGAGTTTAAAATTGTCATAAGGCAGTTTCCCCTAGAAAACTCAGGATACGAGGAGCCAGTGAGAGAATGAAAATCATATGTGATTATCTATGAAGTTTTGGTGATATGCTCGTTTTAAAAATTATTATCAAAATAACCAAAGTTGTGGCTTAGGAGCATTCTTTAGTTGTGCTCTCGCAGTGTGCTAACTGACCACACTGATCAAAACCTTGTTCATGCCCCTCTCAGGACTCTTACTTCTCTTTGTCCCCATTGATTCTGGCTTAGACAAACAAGGTGGCATCATCCCCTTTCATGCCATCGTGGAAACTGTTATCCAGGCACATAACAAAGCTCCTTGCTTATCCCTGTTTGGCACATTAATGAGGATTAGCTCCCAAAGGCAGTTGGGGAAGCTGCCCAGGAGGTGGCATGGGTAGAGAGGGGACAAGGCAAGTGGAGTAGCCCCAGTTTTCCTGGGAGGGAACAAGGGAAGACTGCCTGGACACAGGAGAGGAGACAGGCTCATTTTCAAACTCTACGGCCTCATGGAGGATGAAGAAAAGGTAGCAGGCATCTACCATCTCAGAGGGAGCATCCCGTTGCCCACATGAGAATTTAAGAACACACCACGGAGAGGACAATTGACACCGAGGGTCAGAGACAGTTTTCTGTAGTATTTAACCTCTAAACCCAGCACCTGAAAAGCAGGAATTGACTCAAGAGGGAGAGGCAGAGTGTGCAGGAGAAGCAGGTATTGGGGGAGGAGCAGAACACCCTTATATATGAGGAGGAGGAAGAAAGAAAGAGAGGGTGGCTGAGAGCAAGAGGAGGTAGCAGATGACACATAACCACAAATTCCTCCTGGGCCCACAAGGCAGCTATGAGCAGCAGATGTGAGTCCAAAAATTAGGAGCACAGTCTGCTGGAAGTGGACATGTCAAGAGGTCATTGAGAGCCTGGCCTGGGGGGAGGGGGAGGGGTAACCGAGAGTGTGTCAAAATGGGAAGGAAAATGAAGGGGGTTAAATGTTGTTAGAAGACAAGGGGAAAGACTGCTTCAAAAGGCAGGAAGATGTTGCTGAAAGGTCGCTCAGGGCCAGGAAGCAGCCAGGGCTTGAGCAGCCAGACCCCCTGGTGCTCTGGGCAGAAGCAGCTCCAGGGACGCTTCAGGTGGAGGAGAAGCCATGATCTAATAGTGAGTGACCGTGCAAAGGAGGCTGGCTGTAAAACCTCAAAGCAGGTTTCTTCTCCTCCTCCTTTTCCCTTTTTATTCCTTTTGTTTTTCTCTTCTCCTTTTCAAGGCACGGAGCTCCTTAAGCATGTATCAGTGGTGTTGGAAAGGAGCTGGGTGAGTTGGGGATACAGTTGAGAAACTGAGAATGTAAACAACTAAGTGATCCTCAAGGATGCTCCCTGAGGAGGGCAGGGAGGCTGGGATCTGGAGCCTGAACAGGTTGGACCTTCAGTTTCAATCAGAGGGGAAGAAGGAAAGGTGTGGGGAGGGTTTCGGGTAAGCATGTAGCTTGGTGGAAGAAGTCTGAATGCCTCTGCCTGGTGGTTTCTGCGTTCTCTTTGAAACAGGAAAGAAGACGCCTCAAATCCAATTTATCCCAAATAGAGCTCTTTGTTTCTCCTTCTCTGTGTCATCCCTAAATCTCAGTTCCTTTGTACCCACACTCAATCCACTAGTGAATTCCTTCGGTTTATCCCTTAATATTTCCCCCCAAATCTAATTACTGGACATGACCTTTCTTGCTGGTATAAATCTCTCATGGGAACTATCACAATTGCTGCCTAAATCTAGTTGTACTGAGTTGAATGGTGTGCCCCGCCCCGCAAATTAATGACCCCCTGGAACCTAGTTATGTGAACTTGGTTGGGAGTAGGGCTTCGCACATGTAATTAGTTAAGAGGGGGCAGATGGGTCCTCAACCCTATGACTAAGGCCACTATAAGAAACCACACTGGACTCTCACAGGCACATAAGGAAGGGCACCATGTAACGATGAAGGCAGAAGGTTGGGGTGACACAGCAGCAAGCAGAGGGCACCAGGACAATTGGCAGCCACCAGGAGTGAAGAAGAGGTGGAAGGGAAACTCTTCCTGGGCTTCAGAGGGAACATGGCCTTGCTGGCACCTCGGTTTGGGACTTTTGGCCTCCAGAAGAACGATGGACTAAATTTGGGTTGTTTTACACCACCCAGCTTTGGCACTGTGTTATGGGGGCTCCAGGAAATGAGCTTTCCCCTCCTAATCCCAGCCCAGCAGAGCAGCAGCAGCAGCACCCTTGCACAATGAAATTCAGGTCTTGCCACTCTTCCACTCAGACACCCTCTGATGAGGTCCCATCTCACCCAGAATGAAGCCAATGTCCTTGCAAAGTCCCACGAGGTCCTAGGGACCTGCCCCTGGCTGCCCCTCTGCTGGCAGCCCCACCACTCTCTTCACTTGCTCGGCCTGGCTCATGCTGGGTTTCAAACACTTGAAGCACATCCCTGCTGCAGAGCTCTGGCGCTGGCTTCTCCCCCCACCCAGAACACTGTTGCCCACATGCCCTCATGACCCACCTGGCTTTCTTCCTGTTCTGAGGTCCTCCCAGACCACAGGAAAATGGCACCTTCCTCTCACTCTCTGCTTTACTTTCCTCGTAGAGTCTTTGACCACGGACATAATACATGCACATTTATTGATTACTCTTTTCCTCCCCCAGACCATAAGCTCCATGAAAGCCGGGACCATATATATTTTATTCGCTGTTGATTCTCTAGTACCTAGAAGAGGGACTGGTATAGAGGGGGTTCTGAAAAAAATATTTTTTGAAAAAAAATCAATAAATGAATTTTGTAATAATAAGAGGAAATGTTGAGCTGAGAATTGCTTGTTGAAAGTTTTAAAAGAAATGTGGCAGAAAAATGGGGAAGAGACTGAGAAAGAAAAAGTGTTTCCTGGGACACTGAAGTGACAGGTGACATTGATACCCCAGTTACCTGTGACAAGTTCTGCTCCACCACTAGTTACTGGTGACAAGTTCTGTTTCTTCATGTGTTGGAGTTTATCATTAGAGAAGCAGTTCCAGGCAAACATATAAAGCAGTGTTTATTTAAAGAAGGGGTAACAGACTTCTGCTGGGAGGGAGAAGGGAGCCATATTGTATCCCAAGAAGAGGCATTCGGCCTTTTTTATATGTCCTAGGCTTCCTTTGTTCTCCTGCTCTCTTCCTCTTATCTCTCTCCTTCCAGCTTATGGGATGGCCAAAGGTTGAGAAGCAGATGGATGGGGGAAGGGCCGGATGGAGCAGTCCAGGACACATTAATTAACAACTTTATAACTCCCTGTAGGGAGGGGGAATTCCTGGGACGGG